GGGTAGAGACGGCTAAGACCTCGACCGCGATGGTCACTTCTACGCGGTGTCAGACCTGACGTTGTGCCAAGAACGGTGGCGGAGAGTTGACTGGCACTGTTCTGGCTCTGGTCGTTGTAAGTTGTGTAGAATGGTGACAGGCTGGAATCAAGAATGACACTGTAGTGGCAGCGGAAGGGCTAGCAGGAAAGGACAGGACACGACGGACTATCTTGCGTGTGTGTCGAGGACCACAGCCAACAGAGGTGTGAGGCAGGAGGCAGCCAGCGTTGCAGCTACAACTACCACACCAGACAGATCTTTCCACTCACTCGTTACAAACCAAACACCAACTGACCCGCCATACCTCATAATACTACACAGATTCCTCACGCCACTCATTTAACCCCCACCGCCTGACTCACAGCTCGGCGCGTCCTGCTGAGTCACGGAGATGGTTGTATCTACCTTCCCTACGTCTAATTGTGGCCACTCTGTGAGCCTTGACATTTATACGGCAGTTCTATTTATTCTGTGTCACTTTATCATGGCTGTTATGGAGGCATACGTTTACAATACCTACTTGACACGTAAATATACACCCGAAGTAGTAGTTAATAGAGAAGACTTGAATGAACGGAAGGAAACAATCACTATTTGAGTCTTTAAACTTGTTTTGTGTTGAAATATATTGTGTTGTACTGTATTTTATTGTACTGTATTGTATTGTACTCAGAATTGGCACGATACTCTTTAAGAAAATTGTGTGTGAAACAATGTGAACATATCGTTTACGGCGAGTCTTTTGGCCTAAAAATTAATGTCCAATGTATTCTCCAAACACAATAGATTTATTTCTTTAGTTCAGAGGTTCAAAGGTGTAATGAAGACTCCCATTATACGTCGTATTTACACACACACACACACACACACACACACACACACACACACACACACACACACACACACACACACACACACACACACACACACACACACACACGTTCCAATAACAGTATCGTGAGCACTTTGATCCCTGATAATTATGTTCCCTTGTATACAACGTTATTTCATCACTATCATTATGGTAAAAACTGAGTATCTGGTTTTACAGTACAGCCCCGGGATATAAGTGTTAACAAAGACATCAATCAAAAAATATTTTCTTTCACAATACTATTTACGTATAGACTGTTGCTCATCAAAATGAATGTAGACATCACAGACAGACAGTAGATGCCCCAGACAGACAGTAGGAGCCTGAAACAGACAGAAGATGCCCCAGACAGACAGTAGATGCCCCAGACAGACAGTAGAAGCCTGAAACAGACAGAAGATGCCCCAGACAGACAGTAGATGCCCCAGACAGACAGTAGATGCCTCAGACAGACAGTAGATGCCTCAGTCAGACAGTAGATGCCTCAGACAGACAGTAGATGCCCCAGACAGGCAGTAGATGTCCCAGACAGACAGTAGATGCCTCAGACAGGCAGTAGATGTCCCAGACAGACAGTAGATGCCCCAGACAGACAGTAGATGCCTCAGACAGACAGTAGATGCCCCAGACAGACGTATATGCCTCAAACAGACAGTATAATCCCCAGACGGGCAGTAGATGCCCCAGACAGACGTAGATGCCTTAAAAAGACAGTAGATGCCCCAGACAGACAGTAGATGCCCCAGACAGGTAGATACCCCAGACAGACAGTAGATGCCCCCAGACAGACAGGTAGATGCCTCGACAGACAGTAGATGCCTCAGACAGACAGTAGATGCCTCAGTCAGACAGTAGATGCCTCAGACAGACGTAGATGTCCCAGACAGACGTAGATGCCCCAGACAGACAGTAGATGCCTCAGACAGACAGTAGATGCCCCAGACAGACAGTATATGCCTCAAACAGACAGTATATTCCCCAGACAGACGGTAGATGCCCCAGACAAACGTAGATGCCTTAAAAAGACAGTAGATGCCCCAGACAGACAGTAGATGCCTCAGACAGGGCAGTAGATGCCCCAGACAGGCAGTAGATGTCCCAGACAGACAGTAGATGCCTCCAGACGGGCAGTAGATGTCGCAGACAGTAGATGCCCCAGACAGGCAGTAGATGTTCCAGACAGACAGTAGATGCCTCAGACAGACAATAGATGCCTCAGACAGGCAGTAGATGTCCCAGACAGACAGTAGATGCCTCAGACAGACAGTAGATGCCCCAGACAGACAGTATATGCCTCAAACAGACAGTATAATCCCCAGACAGACAGTAGATGCCCCAGACAGACAGTAGATGCCTTAAAAAGACAGTAGATGCCCCAGACAGACAGTAGATGCCCCAGACAGACAGTAGATGCCTCAGACAGACAGTAGATGCCCAAGACAGACAGTAGATGCCCCAGACAGACAATAGATACCTCAGACAGACAGTAGATGCCCCAGAGAGACAGTAGATGCCCAAAACAGACAGTAGATTGCTAAAGAGACAATCGCCCAATAATCCAAAACAGATCTGTTGCTTTCCATGCTCTCTAGTTGATGGTATTCCCTGACGTGGGTGCAGTACCGTGCTTAAGTGCCGCAGTTAACGTCGCCTGCAGCAGAGAGAGGTGCTCACACACACACACACACACACAGCTGACTCCTCTTCCACCTTGTTAACCACTCCCAGGTGGGTCAGGACGGTGTGGGCACAGGATGAGACACATCCAGATCCCGCTACTCGCCACCTGGTGTTGTGGCAGTCCTTAACCCTCTGGCCTGAGAGAATCCTGCCTGACTTAACCCTAAATGAATCAAACCTAACCCAAACCAAACTCAAACCTAGCTTAATCTAACCTATTAACATAACATAACATAACCTAACATAGCCTAGTCAAACCTCAATTGAATCTAACCTATCCCAACCAAACCCAATCTACCTTAACTGAAACGAAACGAAATTTACTCAATCTAACCAACATATTGAATTTGTTCTTAACCTAACCAAACCTAACCTAGCCTATCCTACCCTAACCTAACCTAACCTAACGTATCCCTGATTAAACTCTTGCCTAACCTTATATAATCTACCCTAAACTTAAGCCTTATCATAACTTAGCTTACTCTACCAGCATCCTATCCCTCGCTTCATTTACCCTAACAAAAGTGGATTAAGACTCATGAAACTGGAATTGATGGGGTTTCGTCTACTCTATTTCATGTTTTTGAACACAACAGTAAACAAAAACAAAATCACGTAGGCTGTCATAGTGCTTGGACACCCCGCTGCCCCCTCTCTTCGTATTAAACTTGACCTTTGTGGTCGTAGTGACTCAAGTCGAAGGCGAGGTGGCGAGGTGGGGACGGGGGGGGAAGTGGCAGATTGACATTATTACTAGCATGAGATGTACTGAGTAACTATGCCTCGACTCACAGTGGTGACCTCAACCCACCCTGACTCTGCATGATGCACAGAGAGAATCCCAGCTAACAAAATCCGCTGACCTCACTAGGGGAAAGGTCACGGCACGGTTAGCTCCCGAGGGATAATTATCAGATATGGCCAGTGCTATGTGCGCTCTTGGTTGTGTGAGTTTGTTGACCAAACTGGAGTGGTCCATGGAAGAATTGGCGAGGGCCAAGGAAGAAATTGAGAGGGCCACGTTGGAGAACCTGAAATTAAAGGAAGAGCTGGCGAGGTTAAAAGGGGAGGCTGGACAGGGAAAGCCAGGAGAAGCACAGATTGATCAATGATTCCCAGCATGGCTTCACAAGGGGACGTTCTTGTTTAACTAATCTATTAACATTCTTTTCATCAGTTTTCGAATCGGTGGACGAGGGGCACAATTATGATGTGGTATATCTCAACTTTAGCAAAGCCTTCGACAGAGTCCCCCACGAAAGACTAATTAGAAAGGTAGAAGCACATGGCATCAAAGGTAACATCCTTAAATGGATTAGGGAGTGGTTACAGGACAGGAAACAGCGAGTGAGCATTAACGGCACTAAGTCCCATTGGAGCAACGTCACAAGTGGAGTTCCCCAAGGCTCAGTACCTGGACCATTATTATTTATTATATACATAAACGACATAGATATCGGCATAGACAGCAACATAAGTAAATTTGCTGATGACACTAAAATAGGACGTGTTATTAAATCTGACGAGGACTCCGCAAAACTACAGGAAGATCTAAAAAAAAATTTTGAATGGTCTGAAAAATGGCAGATGAAATTCAACGTGGACAAAAGTAAAGTACTCAGTATAGGAGATGTAAACAGGGAAACCAGATACCAGATGAACAACGATGCCATAGAGAAATCCGACTGCGAGAGAGATTTAGGAGTAATGATAAGCAGGAACCTTAAGCCAAGTAAACAATGTGTTTTTGCTCGTAACAAGGCTAATAAAGTACTTGGGTTCATACAAAGGAGTGTTAGTTACAAGATTAGCGAGGTCATCCTAAAACTGTATCTTGCGCTTGTGAGACCACACCTGGATTACGCAGTTCAGTTCTGGTCACCGTATTACAGAATGGATATAGAATCCTTGGAAAGAATTCAGAGGAGGATGACAAGACTAATCCCGGGCATTAGGAACCTTGAGTACAGAGACAGGTTAAAGCATCTTAATTTGCACTCCCTCGAGAGACGTAGAGCGAGGGGCGACCTGATAGAGGTGTATAAGTGGAAGTCAGGGCTAAACAAAGGGGACATTACAAAGGTACTCAATCTATCCAACCAGGAGCGAACTCGTAACAATGGTTTTAAATTAGACAAATTTAGATTTAGGCATGAAATAGATAAACACTGGTTTGGAAACAGAGTAGTGGATGAATGGAACAAGTTACCAAATATCATCTTTAACTCGAATACGCTGAATAGCTTCAAACATACATAGGTTGGATGCTTATATGAGCAATAGGGGTTGGGTGTAAACGGGACTGCCCAGTATGGGCCCATAGGCCCGCTGCAGTTTCCTCCATTCTTATGTTCTTAATATCCCATTAACAACAAAATTCCATCATTGATATTATAATAAGGTGTTCCAGAAGCCATCCGTATAATTTGTTTATTAAGGCTTCACCAGTGTGTTAGGTTACGTACACGACAGTTCAGATGTGATTTTGTTCGCCAGCCACCCACGCCACCTTTAGACAATCACTGTCTGTTATGTTCGATCTTGAATAATAATTATTTGTCGTTTCCAAGAACAAATTATATCCCATCCTCAAGACAAAACGAACAATAACACAATATAACTCCCGACATCCGGCCAGGAGCAAGACAACCTACGTCATCTGAGAAGTCTTGTACAGTATTTACCCACTGGACATACTTCATCCTTCACTGTGGTTGCACTATTGTTTCTACCTAATTAAAAAGTAAATACGTCAAGTAAGGATTAGCCCCCAACTTTTTTCACCTGGATGTCAAACTCCC